ATATACTGTAATGCGTATATTCAAATAAATTATCGATACTACTTTGTAGCAACCATAAGTAGTTGTTTCAGATTTGCCCTTGTTTTCGCCTTATCGTAAATAATTAAGCAATTATTAAATTGCCAGGCTAATTTCCCTTTCGTATAGCGGTGTGTGATGAAATAATTCCTGGATAAATCTCATCAATAGACGAAGGTCGATTCTGCTCGAATTGTCTTAGTTTGATTTTACTGGTTAGCTCATAGTCGTTGTGATGTTTTTTTGGTTCTGATGAAAATGTTCTGAGCTATTTGTGCAGGTCTTTACTATAAAAGAAATATCATAGCAGCCTGAACAACTTCTTACAATGTCTCAAACCTTATGAATAGTCATAAATAATCAGCCGGATTATTCCTAATTGTTTCATATTAGTATTAATTACGGGATCTATAGAATGACTCGGTAATGTTATCTTCTATTCATTGGATTTTGAGACTATCGGTAGATAATGAATAAAATCTTTACTTACCTTAAGCGACCCTATAATGACTAGAGATATTAGTCAAAACCCACTATTGGTCTCCGAATTCTGCTTATTATAAATGTAAGAAACCTTGTCGTCTGTAACAGCAAATACATAGTTTTGCCAAAGACAATTCGAATATTAAAATCTGATATGGTAGAGTCCTGGCCTGTCCCGAACTTTATAATATAAAAGATCCCACTTCTAACATTTTTTAGTTCAAATTTATCTTTATATGATTCAAAATGTACTAAAATATTTCTTTTTCTTATCATTTTTGCTTTTAAAGCAGTTATAGTCTTAAGCTCGTGTCCACTTTTTTTGTTTTTAGGCTTTATCGAACCTGCGTATAAGCCAACAGGGCATCGGAATGACAAAGGTTCTGGTTCACAATTTAGGCCCTGAAAAAATTGAGGCTTGCTCTTCCGCTATGGCTCCTCCAAAGACTCCTGTCCTTGGAGTACCATCGCTTGAAGCGCGGGAAAACTGGTGTCGGGATAGGGTTTCAAAGTTTGGCAGCATTGCGAATATACTGGATCATGGCTGGACTGAGTAAGCCTGGGCATTAATTATTTGATGAACATTACATAAATGCGTTAAACCTTTACCATTTTAGAGTCATTTATTCGAGACCAGCCTTTTGGCTGTGAGCCCATTTAACTAGGGTCAAAATAGTCCGTCCAGTTATATATCCTTCGATGCCTCTTACATTTGAAGGACCTTCCATTACTTAATATGCAAGAATTAGATGATTGTTCATTTGACCAATTTTTTATTCAACCGTTGTGACATTCCTCGTCCATTCTTTGTAACTTTGTGCTAAGCTTGGTACTTCTCACTGGCGATGTCTATTACGATGTCGGATGAATGTATAGAATTGTACCAAACCAACGACCCAATGCCTAAAATTATCTTAAATACTTGAGGGCAAAGGATGCAGGACTTGGTCTCCTTGTCGCTAAGACCAAGTTGCAAAATCAAGGTAAAACCATACTGATTGAGACCAACCCGAATCCATCAAATTAGACAATTCTGGGCTGCAAATTGTCCTGAGTGTGTATATTTTGGAAGATATTTCGAGCAAACCTTTGATTTAAGCTTCTCCGAAAAATGCGGATAACTTTATTGCAAGGACTAGCATAATTTATGCGATATGTTAATCGTTGTTTTGGGTTTTGGAAGGATCTATGGTTATGAAAGTTATAATAGCTCAAAGAAAATGCTTAATCTAGCATTTAACTTTATTGCATTATGATAATTATGGCTTCTACAAACTATACAAATCTTAAAACAATGATTAAATATGCATTATTATGACAGTATATTTGAATTAATGAATGCAAAATATAAAGCTCCATTCTTAGTTCATACGAAAGGCAGTGAGACTACAAGTAAATTAATTATGCGAGATGTATTCATCCTATTTCGCCTATGATGATGAAGGACTGGTAGTTGAATTTTTCCACAATGATCTGAGTAGAGCTGACATTTCCATTGAATTTCATAAAGCCTTTCTTCACAAAAGGTATTGTCATCAAAGCAATAGTGGACTGCAGTTTCGACATCGCCTAGATCTTATCAACACCCTCAGCGGGACTCAAATAATGACAATTTAGCGTGTCAGCTCGACACGTTAATCGCTCTGCCACATTTCTAAGAGTGCCTTTGGGCTACAGGGTGAATGTGAATTTCAAGGAAGGCCAGGCATTTTCCAATTACGTTTTACTTGGTGTGATTGCCGATGAAGTAAAGTTATATTTGTTATATCAATCGACTATATTATTTATTTTTCGTTTATAAGTTCGGCTCTTTTACTCATAAAACAGAAAGCAGCTTAGCTTTGTGAGTCAAGCTATTGGTTGGACCATCCCGTTAGTCTGGGCTTTATATCAGGTGTTGATGATCTTATTAGGCCATTTTACTTTCAACATTTTGCTCTCTATCGTTAATTTTGGCCAAATGCATTTTTCTCATATGCAAGATGAACTTAGCTCTTACATTCAGCACTTCCAATAAGCTAGACAATAAGCAGTCCATATGGAGACTTTACTAAAAACAGGTGGGAATATGGGAGGAACTGATTTGCCGGTAGTCTCGAAATCCTACTTGTGAAAAACAAAAAGTACTGTAGTGGATTGTTATTACAAATAAAACTTGGCTTCATCGACAATCCCACCAAGGAATGTCATATAGGAAATGCCTGGCCTTCCTTGAAATTCACATCTGCCTTGTGACCCAAGGGCATTCGTGGCAACGTGGCATGATGATTAACATGTAGAGATTATACTCTACATTGCCATGGTTCGAGTCGCACTAGGGGAGTTGATAAGACGTAGGCAATGTCGAAACTGCAGTTATATCCTGCTTTGATGCGGATACCTTTTGGGGAGGAAGGCTGTGTGAAATTTAATGGAAACGTCAGCTCAACTCCCATCAATGTGGGAATATTCAGCTACCAGTCCTACATCACCTTAAACGAGATGGGGTAAATACATCTCATATACATCTTCATTATCGTAGTTTGTTTTTTATTTAGAGTTAATTCTGGTATAACGTTGATTTTGGTGATGGCAAAAATGATTTTTATTAAACCCTAATTTGAATATGAAGATTTCTGAGGGGTTTACTGAGGGGTCCATTGCCTGGCTTTACTAGAAGTTAAGGGTTAATAGGTGTGTGTATGCTGGGCACTTATTTGGGTACTTTGGTGTCAAGATCGTCGCACCATTTAAGCCACCATCTTTCTGTTTTAATGAGGTCTTATTCAGCTTTTGCCTATAATATAATTTAATTCTGTACAGGTACTTACAAGAATGCTAATTCAAAAAGCCTGTCTGTCAGAAGGCATTTTTGCAAAACAATTTAAAGCTAACTTGACGTTAATCAGGCGTAACTTGATTCCTTTAGATGAATGCGTATAACTAATGACTTGTGGGTTACTTATGTTGCTTATCTGAGCATACAGTACTGTTGGCTAACGTGTACGACAGGGAATGCAGGCATACACTCTGATTTAGCACTAACAACTCGTAGAATTCAACAAACTTAAGCGAATTTTTCATGGGACGTAATTACGTAAGATGCAGAGCATCCGCTACTGCAGTTCATATGACTGCCTAGTTTGAGACTGAGCGAACGGGCTTTGTATGTAAATTGGCCATATGGGTATAAAAAGACTGCATAATAATATGCTAAGCTTAAAAATTATTTAATTTGGTAATTATTTTCGTTTTATTCTCTACCAAATTCTATCTACTGACAGCGCAAAATTGATGAATTCAATTCTTTTACTATATTTATTAGTCTTTTAAATTAGCCTAGCCAAAAGCGTCGCTTCTGATTTCATTTGACTAATGGAGACATAAGCAATCATTGCTATAATGGAATAAAATTCCACTTAATGTGCAGATACAGATTCAAAGGGAAAGTCTGATCTCGTTAAATGCATAAAGTTTTATAAGAGATCGTCTATAACCCTTAGAATATTTCTTTATGGCAGTGATGCTTGTTTAACTCATAATTCAAGTAACTTAATCTAAATTTTCCCAAACACATCACAAGCATGTTCCCTTTGATATTAATCGATGAAAAAACCCTAAATTCGCCTGCATATGCTTTTATTCTGTATTCTTTTAGCTGTTAAAAAGCTGAATCTATATTATAAATATTATATCAAACATAACTTTGTCATTTCTGGTGAATGCGTAATATCTTTTAATATTCCTTACTTGATTGAGTAGTATCACACTCCAAAGCACTATTTTGAGTTTGAATGTAATATCTGTCACCTATTATTGAGTCAAATTGCAAGGATATTATCAGTGATGTCATTATTTTAAATTTTGTAAAGTCAGGTTAAAGCACTTTCAAGAAATTTCTATGACTAAGCATAAATAATATTTTTTAAATATTCTTATAACATTTCTATGGTCCATGCCGAGTATATAACCCAAAACTAAGGCGACAGACGTTCTGCAGGCATGTACTGGACATAGATACTCTAGGGTTGCTACAGGGCTGATGGCTTCTGTTGTTATTCAGCATTTAACAATTTTTTCATTGCATATAGGCACGGCGGAAAATAATCAATTATGTGGAAACAGCTAATTCGCACAAAAATGTTTGTGGCTGTGCATAAAATACAAAACAAATTGCGGATTTTTAATGGATAAACCTCATGAGCGAAGTTATTTTATGTGCTATTAGAACTAATCATTTACACGGTTCCAAGTTTTTAAACGCTTGAAGCTATAACAATTATTAGCTTGGCAGCACACGTATAAATCTGGGAAAATCTTTCTCAATCCAAACTTCACAATCTATTTAATATAGTCTCCTATTTTCATTATGTAACAAGGAAAATTTTTGTTAGTATACCGATTTGTTTTATGATCAATCTCTTATATGACACTTTACTAATAAAATTTGGCTAAATACCAGGGATTGACTTCAGTGATTGCCAGCAGAATACTGGGCATTTGACTTGTTTTGCATATTTTTCTACTTCGTTAATTAATCATATAGCGGATTTCATATACTCACAAACACAACAAATATGATCCAAAACGGACTCATATTATAGTACGTATATAAAGCGTTTTTGAGATATCGAATAAGAATTTTAAGATGAAGCTCATGCATTAGAGCCAAATTTCAATTTTTGAGACTTTTTTAGTATGGGCCTCAGTTCTCGCAAAAACTATGGTCATTTAAAAAATATATTGCTATTTGTGAACTTATATAATGCTGGGTTATTTCAGTCCTAATGTGATGCCAAGGATCCTTGTAATTTACTGGATATAACAGTGACCGATAGTGCCTTTGATTTTATGTTAATTTTATTTAAGGAGAAGATCAAATTATTCAATAATGTTGGATTTTAGCTTAATCGTAATCGATATCCGTCAGAATATCTAATATATGCGAAGAAAAGTTAAGTTTCTATGAATCTCCTGTTTCATAATTGTTCCACTTAGAGTGAAAGCGTTTCGTGAAGAGCTTTGAAGGGCGATTCCACCAGATGACGACGGCGGATTCCTCCTGACAAACTTTCGATTGGTTTTACTGGAATATTCATGTTGACGCTGTTTCCGAGGAAATATCCCATGATTCCTGTAAAAACGTTCTAAGCTTTCGTCCGTCATAGGTCAAACATCCTCACTAGTCAAATTTTGACTCGATGGAGATTTCCTTGGAAACAGCGTCAATATTAATGTTACAATAAAGCCATTCGACAGCTTGTCACGAGAAATCAGCTGTCGTCTTCTGATGGAATCCACCTTAGAATCTCTTCATCAAGCACTTTTACTCTACATTGAAGTAAGAATAACTAATATCTATTGAAATAGAGTAAATAAACCCGGTTTTATGAGGATAAATTTGAATCGCACAACCTAATGTAAACTAATTACCTTTACGCAGATAACCGTTCGTTTAGAAATTAAATGTTTTGAATTATTCACTTCATTGTATAGGAGATAAAAGAAACTTACCTCAAAATCGCAACTTCATTTTGTTAGACAGAGGCATAATAATTGCAGCATGTTTTCATAAGTT